ATGTTTACTTTCGGTTGAGAATATGTAAACAATTGATAAAGAGGAATACCGATAATCATTGGGTGAGCCCACTTAAATGGATAGATAAATTTATTAATCAGAATGAAATATGAATTATTTTTTAGATATGCTTATTTCCGTTAGGAAAAATATAAGCTAAAATTTCAATTTTCATTGAGATTGAGAAATGCTTGACCAATTTTCCTTCTAAATTGACATATCTAATGTAATAAGCGATAACAAGTCAAGAAAGTCGAATGTAGACAGGTTTGTCTTCATACCAGCAATATCGACACTGCTGTTTCAAAATGTTAATTGATAATTGACAGGGTTAAATTTTAACATAATTTACATAAAGGAAATAAATCTAAATATCTACTAGTTAATAGCATCGTTTTCCCACGGTATGCGTTAAAACAATTTTTTTCATATTCTACACATTTTGATTTCATTTGGAATTAGTGTATTAGACGATTGAATTATAATTTTTGGTGGCAATAAAGTTAGCCTTTTCAATTAAGACAATGAATTTAAGTAACCCACCTTCATACGATTTCCACAGAAAAAATGGTGACCAGTCAAATTTGATCCTCAACACCATTTTCTCAATTGCCCGATATTTAACTGGTTCTCCACTAGACACAAAAATTGCACATCGGTAATACACGTGGAAATTGTAATTGAGGTTCCATTCGCATACTTTTATAAAATGAATTAACTTGTTTTTTTTCATTGGCTGGACATCCTAATTTATAATACTGACATTTTGAATGTCTCGGCAATGTTTACATTGTAATACCCATCACACATGCGACGCATTTTTTCTACCAGAACGAATACTTGTTGGCGTGAATAATTTAGTGAAAAGATAAACACCATCGTGACCGGACCAAGTGTGAAGAATTCTCCCATTTGCCTATTTTCATCATGCCCATTGTAAGTCGTCTGCAAACGTTTCATTTATTTGCAACTATCTATTGAATTTGACCGGGTGAATATGGCTCAGTATATCGGCTCACAAAGTAACTGATATTAATTGGTTTCGGTAATTATATTCTCATACCTTTTGTGGTTTTAATGCAATAAAGTCTCGTTTATGTTGTTATGACCTAATTGCTCAACAATGGTCGCTAGAGCACTGTGGACTCTGTGCTAGGAAAAGTGCAGTTACTCCAAGATTCTTAGCTATTTGAACAATTCAACTCGCACTTTCTACTATTAAATATTATAAGTCAATTTATTTAATTAAAGCAGATGAATGAAAGTCATTTTCATTCAATTTGTAGTGTTGAACAAAGCATCATCGATCCGACTGCAGTTAGCGTTAGGAGTTTCAAGCTTGCTTCCGCATATGGGTCAGAGTGCTGAGTGGTTTGGATCTGTGGGACAAACAATTGGTCATCTCTCATGTCATCTAGCTGGCTTAGACATGTGGGACACGTTATCGCTGTGTGCACATATCTACCTTGTGGGACACGTTATCGCTGTGTGCGTCATCTGCCTGCACGCCTGCTCGCCAGGATTGGGAGGTGCGGCCGTACAACTCTGTGTGCAGGGACCGTACAGGATTGGGAGGTGCGGCCGTACAACTCTGTGTGCAGCGAGCGTACAAACAGTGCATCGTATGCCTGCATGTCTGCTGCCAGGATTGGGAGGTACGGCCAACTCTGTGTGCAGCGACCGTACAAACAGTGGCCAATCACTAGACCTCGGGACAAGCCTTGTGGGACACGTCATCGCATGCCTGCACGCCAGGACTGGGAGATGCGACCGTACAAACAGTGGTGCGGCCTTACAACTCTGTGTGCAGCGACTGTACAAACAGTGATCATAATTAACCTCTGTTTAACCTAATCCCCCAATCCTGATCATGATTAAGCTTCCTGCGTGTACACTTTATCCGCAATATTCCGAGTAGCTCCCTGCGTGTACACTTGATCCGCAATATACGTTTAAACGTTAAACGCGCTCCGTGCTACACGTCTGTTTTCTTTATAGCTGAGCTATAGCTTAGCTGTTCTCTAGCTAGAGGTTGGAGAATCTGCCATAGAGATTTCTGATTCCTAGCTAGATGTTGGAGAATCTGCCATAGAAATTTCTGAGCCGGTAGCTAGATGTTTGAGAATCTGCCATGGAGATTTCTGAGTCGGTCTAGATGTAGGAGAATCTGCCAAAGAGATTTCTGAGTCAGGAGAATCTGCCATAGAGATTTCTGAGTCAGTCAGGCTTTACATAGCGTAGCAGTCCACTACAGATCCGTCGTTGCATATGCTCATCTTTGATAACTTTTTTTAATTCTGAATTTCGCTTCTCAGCTCCTATCGTTGAATTGGCTTCGAATTTGTCCTTAGAAATAAGGCGTGATGTCTCTGAGCGTAATCATCGAACAATGGATAATCCTATGAAAAATTCTTGAATGAAATATATTTCTTATCACAATGATATTAATCCAAATTAGGATATTTACTTTCGCATTGTATAACTACCCAGATCATCCCACTTAAGTCTGTTAATAATGCTTAATTATCATATCAGCAGCGTGAAATATGTTTTCAGCTAACCTGTAAATGGATCAGACGCGATTAATCAGCAATTATGCACTTTCAGTGGAATGTGTTGGTTCATACTAGAACCCAGAACACGTACCTGACCAATTCCATTAATTGCCAAAAATGTTGTGCTGGCTATTAAGACAAAGTTCTTTCTAATTAGGAAGAAACTTAATCAGTACATCGTTATTTCTTTGCAATTTTACCCTCCGCCAATTATTAAAATTAAAAATCAAATAGAAATTATTTTATCTTTTTTTAAATGTGAACCTCATGTTCAATCACTTTGATCTACATTTTCTACAAAAACTTATTAGATGAATTTATTTAAACTGGTTAGTTTAGCAATTTTTTCCGATAAATTTTACAAAGACAGTTTATAATCGACTGTTTAAGTGGCATTATTTACTGTCGTTGGATGTACTGAATGGTTTTCAGATGTAAATATCAATAAAGTTATCCAAGGTCTCGCGCAGACTTTTCAATTTCAATTCATTAATGTCCCAAATAGATTCTCTTCCTTTCTTTTAACTATTTAAATCACCACTCGGTTAAAACTGTAAAAATGAAGTGTAATCTTCACCTGTAGACTACTCCAACTTTCCTTCTTTCTAGCAGCGCATTCTATCCTGACAACACCGAATCGTGTAGGCCAGCTCCTACTCACAAATCCTTTGATCATTTAGTCTCGAACTGCCGTTCCTCCTAAATTTTGCACTTGTGATACTCTTTCTTTCTGTTAATCTCATTACTTTCCATAATTTTATATTTTATGGCCATAATGTTTTTGTGCGTAAAATTAGAAAGATGAACCTCAGGTCATCTGACCTTAAAGTACCTTTAACAAAATCTACTGACTGCTTTCTAGTTAATCCATTTGAACCCTAATCTCTATTTTAATGAAAATTAACTAAAGATGATTAAAAATACACCAGAAAATAATGCATGGAATTGATGAAAGGTGGCAATTTCACCTATATTCACAAATTTCATGATCACTGGAATCGAAATTTTGCCAAAAGGCAAT